TATTTATATGTCCTGTATCCTGTAAAAAAAACCCGAATCAAATTCAAGGTCATGCGTTCGAAATATTTCCTGTTACCTTTAAAATTGAACACTCGGTATATATATATAATAATTAATAATATACAGACAAATAGTATAATGTTYGAAATGTTGAACAACAACTCTGAAGAATAATACATTTAGCTAAATGTGTATCGTATTATTATATTTTATCACACTTTCTTGTTGGAAATCTTAGTCTCTTTTGTTGAAATAAAATAAGAATAAGATACAAATCAGACGATAGTAAATAATGTAACCGAAAACCATTTAACTTAAGAATGAAATACATAATAAGTTATTAAGATAATAATTTAGATTGTAGTATCCGTTAAAACGATAGCCACATATCATTAAGGCGACCAATTAATAATATAAATTACAAGTATTTTTTTTTTTAGAAAACTTTTCTTGTTCACTAGCTCGCCACAATACATTTTAATTCGTTTATATAACAACCTAATTTATTATGTCTTCTTAGGTCACTTAATATCCTTAATGTTATTTTAAAAACAAAACACAAATTACTAGATTAAATTTATATTAAGTAATTTAACTATTAATCTAATTTAGCAAATCTGCTTATTTATATGGTTATCAATATAACCCCCCGTATACATTTAAAAGATCATTAAATTTTTTTCATTGTTTTTCCTCTTTACAATAATTATGTTCAAATTTTTTATTACATAATATATTTTATTTTATTTGTTCGTAATTCATCCATGGTAATGCGATAGTCGTACCTTTAATTTTATATTTAATAATTACAAAACTACAGTAAATAATATATACATATAAGTATAAATTATACATAAATACATTCTGTATACATTACACACACACACATATACAGTAGTTAAGTACCTAAGTATATRTATTATGTTTATAGTTTAGTATTATTATAATGAACGTATAATATATAATTTCAAAATGAAATAAATCAATTATCTCGCATAATGTATTTTGCGACTGCTTTGAAATTTGTTAATTGATCAGTAGTTTACTTAACCCATATATTATCCCAAAACTCACTAATATTATTCCAGCTTTGGAAAACTGACTACTATCGATTTTTTTTAAGCAATAGGAAACCATTTACACCCATCTTCGTAGTTCACGACAATATTATTAATTTGAATACTGCTTTGAATACAACGATTTACAAACTCTCTTTGTGGTATTGCTCAGGTACTACTGCAAAAATATCATTCATTTCACACAATCTTAKTCGACTTGATTGCGCCTAAACATTACTTTCGTTCAGCAGTTATAATAATATCCACGAAGAAAATACACAATAACGCTGGAAAGAACCGAAAAGAAGGAGTATCAAACTTTAGAAATTATTTGATTGGTTTATTGATTTAAAAGCTATTCAGTTTTAAATAGAGTATGACAATTTTGAAAGCCATTTTCAATGGGCTTGTATAGTATGTGCGCGGCTCCACTTCGATTTCATTCGCTTTTCGGCATCACTTAATTTATTTTTTTAAATCTAAGATTGTAGAAGGAAWATAATTCAATAAAGACAAAAATTCAAACACCCAAATTATAGACATTAATTATAATATTATACATTCATTTCAAAATAAWATGATTTTTCTATCTCATAATATTTAAAATATGCCCGTATAATGATTTAAAAATTGCTATATTTATAGCCTTATAAGTACTTTATTGTACTTGTTTTATTTATTTATACTTAAAAAGTTTCAACTTAAATAGATGAAGGCTACAAACTACAAAGTAAATAATATTTAGCATAAATTTTACTCTTCAGAATAAATACTWATTATTTGATTATAATATTACCATTCGATTGTCTGGGTGACTTGGTAATAATTTGTAAGTTATTTTATGATAAATAAAATCTCAACACAAGCAATATTAATTTTAAAATATTAATAAATTATTGATAAATGATATATAGGTACATCGTAATRAATCATGAAAACAAGTAACTAGGTATGAATAGTTCTTTAAGTTAAAAGTGCCAGGGATCGAAACCGGTTTCGATAGACGATATAATACTGTACGATTTGCTGTTTTTATGTACCCGCCTTCACATATTAAATAAACCTATAATATGGTAAAATTAAAATATTAGAAAAAAACAAAGCGTAAAATATTTTACAAAATTAAACCTGCATTGTTGTATATTAAAATGTTTAATTAATATTGTATAATATTAGAATGTKATCAAGGATTGATCCTACCAATCGTGCGATGATCACTTGTTACAAAATTCATTGGTTGATAATATCAAAATTTTTAATTATTATAAAAAAATGATCTATGATTTGTAATATTATTTACAATTAATTGTTTGATACTGACTAGAAGTAAAGGTCAGCCAACTATCATTAGTGCCTATATATTGGTATACTATATATACTATTTATTATATAGGTACTCGTGAATAATAATATTTATTGAACAATTTCCGTTCATTAGTATTTATAAATTATAAGTATAAAATAGGTCAACRTTACCCGAAAGGTGTTATTATAGTATATACCTATACCGACTACCACACAACAAATAAAACAGATTAAATTAAAAAAACAAACATAAAACTAAACTAAAACGATTTTTATTATTATTTTTCCTACTGGAAGTAAATATTATAATACGTGCCGATAGTGAAATCAAACCAACACTCGARCATATAAAAATAAGCACTTTATTAAATATGTAATTTTGAACATCGTGTAACAACATATATTATCCTATACAAATATGTTCAAATATTACTCAAATACACGTTTTAAATATTATACTGCATTGAAAAATTTACAAAGCACAATTTTATTACAAAATATTGTCKATATGCGATTGCAAATACCAGTGGATTTAAATTGTAGGTACGCATTWTTGTATTTTATTTAATTYGAAATAATTTCCAACTAAATTCYGTTTGGCCGCCTATTAGTTAATGCCACGGTTATTTACTAATTTCCATTATCCAACCTTAGTTGATAACCGTGGTTAAAGGTAGTTTCACATGAAGTGAATGATCGCAGCGCGAATGCGATTTTAAAACGCCTCAAAATCAATCAAAATCGCCTATTAAATATAGGTGTTTAATTTTGAGTGAATGTTCGTGGCGATTTAAAATTTCGTTTGCCCTGTTAACATTCGTTTCATGTGAAACTACCTTAATGGACAAAATTATAGGTGTTATTTTACATAATTAATTCTTTACGTTATTGCGTTTTGTATATTGTATGAGGTTTTTCAATCAATATTATGAAGTGCAGCGGATTTGTAATCTTGAAGATTTCTTTATTGTTTTATTTAAGAGCCAGCTCTTCGTGGAACAGTGGTAAAGGACGATAGTTCTTTTTGATATTAACCACCGAGTGCCCAAGTTCARTCAGGGCGTTTGTATTATCAGTTATGATTGTAGAGTGATGCAGATTTTYAATTACTGCTTTGAATTGCCGTTTGGAGTGCGGCCGAAAAGAGCGAAATTCAGCATCGGTTTCTTTAATTAATCAGTTATTATATTTTAGTTTATGCGGTTGTTGGGMTGGATTATTAGAAATGATGGTGTGGACTTGAATGAAATATCGTTGCTTCGTGTGATTGATATTATTTTCTTACTGTATATTGATAAATTTACGACGTTCTTTGTGTAGGTTACCGGTATTCGGGTAGGCATAGGTGTGATTTTAGTTTTATATAGTTGCTCACAGACTACTTTTGGTTGAAATACCCAATTTTCGATCTCGCCGTCAGTGACCTTGGCCAATACCACATATCGATTTGGTGATGCTTATGACTTGATTTTATTTTCTTCTTGTAGTGATGTGATAGAAGGCGAGAACAAATGCCGTTTTGATTTTTTGGTTTTTGGTGGTCGAAACATCGCCATGTTTGGTGGACGTGCGCGCAAACGTGTGTTTACCATTACCAACGTTATCGCCAGTCTATTTGTATAGTTGCTGTGGGTTCATTCATTAGCTTAAGAGAACGCTAACTTTACTGAGAAACAGTAAGAACTTTTATCGTATAGGTGAGGTCAACAAAAATAAAAACAATACTTCGCACATAATGTTAAAAACTATTCTGTATATCAATTTTGGAGTCTTAGCTATCACTATTACAGCTTGAGTGTTTCTATATCGCGCTAAACATTTTTTGCAATATGGTGTTGTATATTTTGCTAACAATATAGTCACGGAAATAACACGTGCGGGCGTAGCGTACTCTTAATAACACCGATCGTACAGAAATAAGGCTTAATGCATAATATGAGTTATAGTAGTATAGTAGTATAGTGTATCGCATGGACTTATCGTTTTKTCTTGTCTACAATGTAGGCCAATAAAACACACACCTCACWCATTGGGGAATTTACTAAATCAAATTTAAAACAATATTCGTCGAGTTTATTAAAATAATATTATTAAGTACACGAACCACACACTTTTGCGCTTTGAATTAATCAAAGATCTCACCCTGACAAATTTATCGGTACAGGGCAGAGAATYCATATTGGTGCTGTGAGATTCTTATTTCTTTTTTCCTAGGTCTGCGGCAAGACTTAAATGTAAACATCCATCACGAAATCGATCGCTCTATACATCGATAAACAATGTCTGTGTACATTTCACCACATGGGTCAACCGTGGTTTTTCCTTTTTTCCACCTAGCTCAAGAAATTATTTCGTGAGTTTGTTGCGCCAGAGTGGTTTTTTCTATTACTACCTCCCACCCACTGCGACCACTGAACAGTTCAAGCCGAATATAAGGATTCTATTTTCACGGATCTACCTATAAAGTAGTTAAATAATAATAAAATGTCAAATACGGTAGGTACCTATAGGTGTATTCCTCGTTTTCCATTTAAAATATTATGATTCGTACGCGTCGTCACTCGTCGCATATAGTACCTACGTCCGTCTTCATCTGTCCACCGATATAAGACGTGTATGTGCTACGTAATAAGTTCAAACGTTAGTTATTTTTTGTATTATTCTCCAAGCATATTTCGATGYGTAAGTAATATTATAAATTAAAATATACCTGTGTTCTTACTGATACTCGTTTCAGTGACAGTCATATCAGTTTTGTTTCGGAACCATGATGGCATATATATATGTAATKAAATTAAATCTATGTAATTTAGAGGATGCATGAGATGTTCCTAGTCACACGTTAATTTCGCGATAAAAATAAAAATCTACAGCCACAGAAGTTATCAAAGTGCAAAAACCGTACAATAATCTTACAATATATTGTGCTGTATTTTTAAAAATATAAGTTTCATTCATTCATCAAAATACAACTCATTTAATAATTGTTTTTTCTCTATATCATAAATATATAACTCTACAAAGTGGCTATTTACAAGTTATTAAAAACGTTTATTTTTAAATAATCTAAAAATATTTTAGTTGTTTTTTAAAAATGTTTTAGACCATGTTAAAAGGGGCGCTGTATTGCATGAAAATAATTATCCTTGTTTATAATCTGTATAATAATATATAGTTACTACGATATAATATAACATGTAGGCACCTCTATAGACTTTATATCTTATAATACARWGTGAGGCAGTGAAAACGGTGATTTTTGTTTGTAATTATATTGGATGATCACTGATTTCGTTGCCCCATTCTGTATTTTATTAAACTGTGGCCTAGTGTGTCGTTATGTTTGGCGTCAGTCATTAATGTATTCTGCGATCAAGCATCAGCGGATGTTACTAGTTGCCGGATGGGTGACTACCCGGACTTTTAGTGACAAATCTTCGCCACATATATACCTGTTCTAATCAACCGTAATAACAGTAATATAAACCTACTAAATTTTAAAAGATTTATGTTACTTAGTAACTAAAATAACCCTGGCTATTATTAACCTCAGATGTTGAAGTYTTAACTGAATAAAAAAAGTTTATTAAATTAAATGTATATGAACAATAATATATTATATTAATATTCATTGTAATTAAATCAATAAATKACCTATTTTTATTTAACTTAGATTATATTTAGGTAATATAGGTATTATCTGTATATTTTTAACCCATTAATTTTCAAACATTATATACCATATACATACCCAAATAACGGATAACCTTGCCTAAATCAGTGATTGGTATGCTGTTAATATTGTCACTTGTAAACAACGAAAAAGCATCAACTATAATTTTCTGAAGATCATTCTTAATTTCTAAAAATATCACAACATTTGTAATTAAATGAACACTTACAATGTAGGTATAATACATTTATCTGAAAATACCAAAAGTCTTAATATTATCTGTGTCGCTGCTATTTGATATGTTCTCTTCAGTCATTTTGACCAATTAAACAGTTCGATTGGTTATCAATTTAAAAGATGTCAATATGTTTAATATAAAACAGTATTGTATCAGCTGTGTGATTTATTAAAATATTAATTCGAATGTTTTAAGCCAAATTGAATAAAAAAAGATGCTGTTTAGATTCTAGTTATAAAGACATTTTTTATTATATATTTTGTCATTAACTTTATAAATTACCATAGCTTTCTTACAATTTATTTGTTTTTTTTCACCATTTTTGTTTCATTTAATCTATATTACCTTTGGCATATTTAATAACAATATTTAAAGCTTAAAAATGCAAATTTTGTCTATACATAAGAAAAGAAAATGTGGGAATAGTTGTGAAATTTGTTTTTAATATATAATACATTTCAGTATATTCAACTTGTTTTTACAATATAAATCGCAATAAAATTATTTTGTTCGCAAACGTTTTCCTAGAATTAGGTAAACTTTTTACCTTATTATGTTTTGTTCAACTACAGCACGTATTATATTGGTATGCAGTTTATCAAAATCGGTGTCATTGATAATATAATATATAGGTACACCTTATTACTATGTTAGAAGTTAGTAAATACGTGATAAAATTACTACAACGTTCTCCATTTTTAAAATATAAAATAWAATTTAAAATATAAACATTTAAATATTTAAACGTTAAACTCTAATTATTGATCAATTTTAGTATTATTATTTTTAAAAGTACCTAACACCGAATACCAATCCAATAAAAAAAACCTGTTTAAAATAAATATTCAACTCTTTTCCGTATTTTGTTAAAGTCAAAATATTAWTTGATATATCTACCTATTAAAATTGAGATTAATTGGTTAAAACAATATAATTTACATTTTTTTCCTTAAATTAGAACATAAATTCTTATTGTACTTTAAAAAAAAAAACAATTTTGAACGTTAAAAAAAAACTAATA